ATAACTGCCAAGGAACTGAATCGTAACATCACGCGAGTGAACTTGGAAGTTTCATGAGATGACTGAATCCCATTTGATACCCTAGTTGCAGTCCTTTAAGAGGTCTCAAGCCAGAGGACCCAGTGAAGCCACACCCAAATTCCCCACTCACAGAACCTGTGAGATAACAAATGTTTTAAGTCATTAAATTTTGGGGAAATTTGTTAATGCAGCATAATACAGCCACTATATTATTGTACGTGATTTCAGCCATTTATATAATAACTTACAAATGGTTATAATCATTCAGGACTCTCTGGTTCTATCCTGTATAAAACTTCGAAATAAATACATATGTATATACAAAACACAACATTTTACATATAAATATGAATCGCAAGGTATGTAATTATATAAATTTTATACACTCATGTATAAATTATACATATAAAACTTTCAGATATAAAATTTGTTTTATATATGTAAAATATAAAAGTATCTTGACTGTTTCTCTCTAGCATTAGCTAATCTCTCTAAGCAAAATACCACTTAGAGCTGGGTTTCTTAGTTAACAATACTGAAAGTAAATCCACATTTCAACAAGTTGTCTGAAGCATTTATTTATTTTTAAAAGACTTTATTTATTCATGAAAGACACAGAGAGGGAGACATAGGCAGAGGGAGGAGAAACAGGCTCTATACAGGGAGCCTGATGCAGGACTCAATCCTGGGATCCCAGGATTACACCCTGAGCCGAAGGCAGATACTCAACCACTAAGCCACCCAGGCATTCCTGTCTGAAGCATTTAGAAAATATATTTATATTTTTTGCCAACTTGTCAGATCTGATTAGAGTATCATGGTTTTAATTTTGCAATACACCTAATCAAAACTTATACCAAAAATTTTTTGAATCATTTTCTTACTCTTAATTTGTGTTATTTTAATTATCTTCATTCCATTGTTTATTTGCAGGAATCTTTTTTTTTTTTTAAGATTTTTATTTAGTTATTCATGAGAGACAGAGAGAGAGAGAGAGAAGCAGAGACACAGGCAGAGGGAGAAGCAGGCTCCATGCAGGGAGCCCGACAGGGGACTTGATCCCAAGACTCCAGGATCACACCCTGGGCCAAAGGCAGGCGCTAAACAGCTGAGACATTCTGGGATCCCCCGCAGGAATCTTTTTAACCCACTTGCCATTTTGTGTTACAGAAAAGAAAAAACTATTTGAACATAATATGCAAAAGTAGAGGAGGAAGAAAAAAAAAAAAGAACTTCAAACAATCACCAATTCTATTTCTAATAGGTTCCTTTCTCATGGTGTTATAATGCTAGCAATTCTGAAATTATTTTATGTAGATTACTGGATTTAGCAAATGAATACATGTGTTGGTATTATTGGATGCCAGGATTCTGGAAAGAATACAAATAGGAAATGAGGAAGACAAGGAAGAACCATGTGGAGTTCAACTAGAACGCATATCTGAAAAGTTTCTTAGTTCTGCCCACTGAAAAGATCTAGAAGCAATGATCATCAGTAATCATGGACAAACCTAGGGCCCATATTTTGGTTTCTAAATACATGTCCCACTAATAATGAACCATAAACTCCTTGGAGAAAGAATTTGAGGGTTGGATGAGGGCTTCTTTCTTACTTAAGAAAAAAAAAAAGGACAATTCCAAAGATGAATAAAGAAGAAGGATACAAGACAAGCTAGAATATCTTGCAATGCTGGAAAGGTATTAAGTGTTCAAAAACATCAAAATACCCCCTTTAGATACAGAGCATATCAGGAACCTCCTTGAAAATGCTCTCACTGACCAAATCTAGGGTTGCAGGAACATCAAAATAAGAACAGTAATAACTTCTAATCTACTAAGGAGTTCATACTGATGACTGTCAGGTAAAAAGATAAGTAGATAGATGGACAGAGACATCAAAATATACATCAAAAGACAACTGGGTGGCTCAGTGGTTGAGCATCTGCCTTCAGCTGGGGGCATGATCCTGGGGTACAGGGATCAAGTCCCACACATCAGGCTCCCTGGGGTGGGGGGGGGGCAGGTGGCCCTGCATCCCCCTCTGCCTATCCTTCTCTGTCTCTCATGAATAAATAAAATCTTAAAAATATATATATAAATCAAAAATACACTCATACATACACTGATATACTCCGTTAGGCTAATTTATGTTAACAAGGTTCCACCAGAATGACCAAGTACATGACTACAGAGAGTTGGAAATTTAGTGCCATGTCCTCACTCCACACCACTTCTACACTTTAAGGGATAGGAGGAAGGATGGAGATGGAGTTAAAACTCTTGGTCAATGATTTAGTCAATCATGCTGTTATACTGAAACCCCAGATTTGAAACTCTTAAAGTTTAGAGAGCTTCCAGTTGGTAAATATATCACTGTGCTAAGACAGTGCCAGGCTAAAGAGGGTAGGAAAGCTCTGTAGTACCTCCCACCTTGCCCTATATATCTCCTCCATATGGTTTTCCTGAGTTGTACCCTTTTATAATAAAACTTTAGTACTCACTTCGGCAGCACATATAATAAAACTTCATAATAAAACCTAATTTTAATAATAGTGCCTTCTTGAATTATGTAAGTCATTCTAGCAAAATAACAAACCTTCTGGGAGGGTACAGGAGGGAAGGAAAGTTGTGGATCTGAGCCCTTAATGTAGATGTGCACTAACTCCCAAACGGCTGGTGTAAGATTTCAACTGAATTGTAGTATACCAGGCTGATGTCAGATAACTGTTCCTGCAAAATAAATGAGGATAAAGGAAGGTTCTTCTTCTTCCTTATACTAGAAAGCCATGGGGCAATAGGGAGGAAATGATGGATTTGAAAAGTCAGAATTCTATTAACTACTACACAGCAATGTCACCCAACCTGAAGATCTGAATGGTCATCCTCTTACCATGTATTATTTCATAGTATCACTGATCACTTGGAAAGCTACTGACTGGTTCACTAAGTTACACAGATCTGCCAAATGCTGACACACTTCACTGAAGAATTTTTAAAGATCAGTCTTAATATTACCACTCATCTCATTAGAAAAGTAAGCAAGCATTGGAGGGGCGCCTGGATAGCTCAGTAGATTAAGCTGCCGACTCTTTTTTTTTTTTTTTTTTTTTTTTAAGCTGCCGACTCTTGATTTCAGCTCAGGTCACGATCTCAGGGTCATGGGATCTACCCACATGTCAGGCTACCTGCTCAGCAAACAGTATGCCTGAGGATTCTCTCTCTGTTCGACCTGCCCCCCACCACTTGCATGCACACACACACTCTCTCAAATAAACCTTCTTTAAAAAAAATAAATAAAAAATAAACCTTCTTTAAAAAAAAGAAATTTTGGGAATTATCAAGTTCATGGTAGCAGATACAAGGTTCACAAAATTTTAGTTTTTGCTTAGAAGTTTGAATTTTATCATTGGCAACAAATACTACCAACTGTTTTTCCATAAGGTAACAGACTCACTTCACTTCTTTTCAAGAAAATATCTGCCAAATATCCTACTTTCGATAATCAAATTTTGTCTATTAGCCATTCTTTAATACAGAAATGATACGCTAGTTCAGCTCAGACCCAAACAACTCACAAGTTCTTCACCTTAAGATAACCATACTTCATTAGGTAGAAGTACCTGGTTGGGGAGTGGGGGGTATTTTCCATTTCATCACACAGAATATTAAGATGTGCACCCCCAAGGTCAAGCTTCAATAAGATTATTATTTTACTGTTTCATCATAAGTGAAATCGGCTTTTTCTTTTTTTTTTTTTTAACTGTGAATGCAACAGTTAAGATGAAGATGATTACTACACTAATGTACTTTGGTTCAACTGCCTTGATTCAAAACTAACTCACCACTACTTACACACCAGCATGTAACTGTAACACAATGAGGGGAGGAGAATATACATATATATTCATTCATATTTATATATTTATATAATATATATTTATATATTACTATATTTATATATAAACACAATGGGGAATAAATTAAAAAATATAGTATTGTGAAAATAGTTTATTTTGTAGACCTCTGAAAAGGGGATGCGGACCTCCTAAAAGACCTTACACCACACTCTGAGAAATGTTGTACTATAGCATGTTTTACATTATAGATGTATGCTCAGTTTCAATGTCAGGTCACACTATATAAATCATTAAACAACTTGAAAATGTTTCCTATCACAAAAGAAAACCAGATAAAGACAATAGTATATACAATTTTTAAATTTTTTACTCTCTTCCTAAATTTAAAAATGTTTATTGTTACATATAAAATACATAACAAAGACCAAGTTAAATTTCAACACTTAAGCATTTTTCTCATATTATGAAGTAAAGTATTTAAAATTATTATTTAAGGGTGGCTGGATGGCTCTGTCCATTAAGTGTTCCACTTGATTTTGGCTCAGATCATGATTTCATGACCCTGAGATCAAGCCCTGCATTTGGGCTCTGTGCTGGGCATGGAACCTATTTAAGAGATTCTCTCTCTCTCTCTCTCTCTCTCTCTCTCTCTCTCTCTCTCTCTCTCCCCCACCCTCCCCAACTCTGCTGCATCATCTCTAAAATTAAAATTTTTTAAAATAAAAATTTTTCACTAAAAACATTCTCTAAAACATTTGCTATTAGTTACATACAAGCTAACTAAAAATATTCTCTACTCTGTTTCAGTCTTTAACTTTTTCTCAAAGCCACCCTCACATGACTGTAAGATGGGTCTTCATAAGGCTGTGGTATCATTCACTATCATATGAAGATTTTTTAAAAGATTTTATTTATTTATTTATTTTTTTTTTGAGAGCGAGTGCATGCGAGAGCACAAAAGAAACAAGAATCTCAAGCAGACTCCATGCTGAGAGCAAAGGCCCAAAGAGAGCTCAATCGCATGACCCTGAGACTATGAGCCAAAACTAAGAGTTAAGACACTTAACTGACCGAGCCACCTAGGCACCCCTGACAAGATTTTTTAAGTGCACTGTTCAATACCTTTTCCCTGGACAGGTTTTCCAAACGTGAAGTCAGACCATTTATTTCTTTGTCTTTCTCTGCCAATTGAAGCTGGAAAAAAGAAAATCATCATTAATCTTTTTCATTACCTATTCTCTCCTTATGTGCCAAGAGCTAGTCTAGAACACTCTATCAAAATAAAACCTATTACCATACCCGCGTATTTTCCTTGGTGTATGTCTTTGGACATCTCTGAATTACTTGTTATTCCTGACCAACTTCCCTTACTCATACAACTTCTCCCATAGTTTATGTAAAATTTCACCCACAATGTCATCTTCTCTTGCTCTTTTTTGTGTTCACTTCTTCACAATTAGAAATATGAGTGTTTGCCAAAGTTTTTTCTTTGGCTTCTCTATTTCCCCTAAAAACTCCCTTTTTCCTATGCCTTCTCAACTATGATCCTCATGGGAATAAAGCACTAATATTAATTCACATGGCATACATCTTTATTTTCCAAGTTTCAAACCTGTCTTTTCAATCTATGGGTGACATCTTTTCATTTCTTTCTGCGTTCTAAGGGCAAAAGGTCCCAAAGCTACTTTAATAATTTTGTTAAAGAATATTATCAGTATCAGAGCCCACTGTGACTGAAGTTAGAAAGCTATGTTACAATACTTCCTCCTCTTCTTCTTCCACTTGACATTTTCAATTTCTTAAGTCATTCATTCATTCACTTAACAATCACATTATAGATACAAACACAAATAAACCTATTTTTCAATAATTTTTCCCTAAGGATCCCTTTCAGAGCTTTACTTGATAGACTCATGTCCTACTCAGTAATAAGTGATCAGGGAAGGTACCCAAAAGGGTAGTCTTTACCAAGTAATTCTGAAAATACTTCAGATTTTCTTATCCTCAAAACCCTCCCCTCCTGTAAGTCCGCTCAGGGTTACCAAATTGTTTTCAGAAAGACCTACTATAGTTAGGTCCCTTTACTTCTAGAAAAAAAATTTTTTTTAAGATTTTATTTATTTATTCATAGAGATAGAGAGATAGAGAGATAGAGAGATAGAGAGATAGAGACAGAGAGAGAGAAGGCAGAGACACAGGCAGAGGAAGAAGCAGGCTCCATGCAGGGAGCCCGACGTGGGACTCGATCCCGGGTCTCCAGGATCACACTCCGGGCTGCAGGCGGCACTAAACCACTGCGCCACTGGGGCTGCCCTACTTCTAGAAAACTTTTAATAGCAAATAGCACTCAAATTCCATTTTAGGCCTTCCGAAATATGGCTTCAATCTCTTTCAAGTCGAATCTACTCCATCATAGACATTAAAGTCCTATTACTCAAGATTGCTCAAAATTTCCAGGCTACACTCTCCACTTTTCACTTCCAAACTTGTATAAATGTTTTTCCTGTTTAGAATGCTGCTTCTTTCTTTTCCCAGCTCTGCTTCTCCTCCCTCCAGTTTGGTCTTTCAAAGGTCAGGTTTCTCCATGTTTAACTCCTAAATATTCCACTGGAAACAGCCCTAAGATACTTCATTAGACTTTTTATTCATGTAGAACTTCCTCCTACTTTGTCTTGTCTAGTGAGTAACTGTGTCTAAACAGTAGAAAAGGGATCCCTGGGTGGCGCAGTGGTTTAGTGCCTGCCTTTGGCCCAGGGCGCGATCCTGGAGACCCGGGATTGAATCCCACGTCGGGCTCCCTGCATGGAGCCTGCTTCTCCCTCTGCCTGTGTCTCTGCCTCTCTCTCTCTCTCTCTCTCTCTCTCTCTGTGACTATCATGAATAAATAAATAAAATCTTTAAAAAAAAAATAAAATAAACAGTAGAAAATACGGGAAAGGACACTAACCAAAAAAAAAAGCTAAGCACCTTTACCAGCTACATAATCTATGTTAACTCAGATGCTCACTATTATGAACCAAATGAACTAAAAACACTAGTCAGCTTCCCACAGGTTTGACAGATGATTGCCTGGGTCATGAATGTCAAGGAGTTATGATTATCATCATTATACTTCTAGCAATCCCTACTAGATTATAGACTCCTTATGCATAAATAGCAGTCACCCTTACTTGTATGATCACCACCATGACAGCTAACATAATGCTCTTTCATGCTCTCTCTATATGTAGTAGCCTTTAATTTTACTAAATTTTTTTTTCTGGTCAATATGCAAAGACAAAAGTTCATATAAATCCAGTATTCACACTTTATAAATAATAAATTGCCAGCCTTTGAAAACAAAATCCACAGGGATCTCATAAATAATAATCTCATGAATACGAAATTTTCATTCTGACAATAGATGAAGATAAAAAAGAACCACTAGTAAAATTACTATAATGTGCCACCTTCTCCACCCCGCCCCCGGGGGGAGGCACCTAAATTCTTGTTGTCTTTAAAAATACTACATTTAAAAATTAGGTTATAAGTATAATTAGCTATAATACAGCAAAGTTAAATAATTTAGAGCTTTTTGGTCTTCACTCACACACACATATGCAAATCATATGTACATATATATTCCAAAATATGTAAGATTATTCTTTAAAGTGAAAATATCTTCCCACTTATAATTAAACAGCCTGTTAATCTTTTTCTCTAACATTCTTAAAAATATCATTTACCATTTGGGCTTATTTGTTGCCTAATATTACACTGACAAAAAACATTTGTTAATTAAAATTGTATCACTTTGCTGTATTTTTCAGGATCACAGGTAACACATTTTGGTGATTCATTTAATAACTCATACACAAATTTTTAAATTTCTGATCATATATTATGCTCCCACAAAAATGTGAAGGCCCTAAAATAATTTTACACTCACATTCATGTTTGTTTCTAAGTGAATAGGAAAATGAAATGATCATTTTTCATCTTAAAAACTAAGAATGATTTAAAAATAGAATTTTTTTAATATAAAAATAGAATTTTTCTTAAAGATTTTATTTATTTATTCATGAGAGACACAGAGAGAGGCAGAGACATAGGCAGAAGGAGAAGCAGGCTCCATGCAGGGAGCCTGATGAGGAACTTGATCCCAGGACCCTGGGATCACGACCTGAGCCAAAAGCAGATGCTCAAACCACTGGGCCACCCAGGTGCCCCTAAAAATATTTTTTTAATGAGTCAATTGAGTGCACAGAACTAAAGCCACAATGGCAATGCAAAGGAGTATTTATTTTCTCAGTTCATAGTTAATTATATTCAACTATAACGTAGCTGTGCCTTTTTGTTTATATACATAAATACTATCCCAATTTCCTACATTAAAATTGCACATTAGATTGATAAAAATTATAGCTAAAATACTTGCAAAAGTACCAGCTACACTATGTCTCAAGTTATACAAATACCAAACTTACTTTGTAATTGTCCTCTACTTCAGCTAGTGCTAGTTTTACATTTTCAGCAATCTTCACCTGTTCTTTCCATTTCAGTTCCATTTTTGCAAGTTCATCAGCATACTTACTGCATTTTGTTTTCTCATCCTAAATGAAATTAGCATGATTACCAAAAGATTTTAAATCCAGAAAGAGCCAATCTCTATAAACATATTTAGATACGTGCTGAATGTCTCATTGTAACAATTATAACAGTATAAATATTAAAATAACCATATGTCAAAAACAAAACAAAAACAAAACAAAACAAAAAAAAAACAGAAAACCCAACCCAAATGTCGGTCAGTGGAAGATGGGACAAATCATTTTAAACCCATACAATGGAGTAATATATATTTAAAAGAACAAATTAGATCTACAAAGTAGCAAGGAAAAATGTCAAATTACATTAATTGAAAATAGTAAGCTGCAAAAAAAAAACCCAGAATAAATAGTACTCCTATTTTTAAAAGTTAACACACTTTTATATGATTTCTATACAGTGCTGTGTAGGAAAATATAAACAAAATATGAATAGCTTTTATCTTTTGGAATCAGGATCATGAAGGTAACTTTTACCATCTTTATTCTTTATTTCCATAATGCCAAAAGATTTCACAATAAGCATATGTTACTTTTACAAAGGGAGATAATAAAAAATATGATTATAATGACATTGCTTCCAGTCACTGGGATGTCCTGACCAAGATAATCTCTAGGTTGACTTCTCATACATTGCTTCTTCTCTACAACTCAGAATGTTAAAAGGAAGGAGTTACAAAAAATAACAAAAGGATACAATGGACAACTTCATTTTGAATGCCTTATATTCCTTTTCTTTTTTAAGATTTTGTTTACTTATTCACAAAAGACACAGAAAGGCAGAGACAAAGGCAGAAGCAGGCTCCATGCAGGGAGCCCGATGTGGGACTCGATCCCAGGACCCCGGAATCATGCCCTGAGCCACCCAGGCGTCCCTTGAATGCCTTATATTCAAGGTAAAAGTTTAAAACTATGCTTCAAGCAACTCAAGAAAAAGTCTTTAACAAATAATGCTACATTAACTTAATATTCATTCCTCTATGTATACCTTTCACATCACAATCAAAAATAAGCTTAAAATGAAAAGAGACCTAAATGTAAAACCTAAGAGTATAAACCTTATAGAAGATATGAGAAAATCTTTACAAGTTGGATTAGGTAAATGTTTCTTAGAGGACATAAAAAGCATAGAATGGAACCTACTTAAGATTCTCTCTTTTGGGATCCCTGGGTGGCTCAGTGGTTTAGCACCTGCTTTCCGTCCCGGACACAATCCTGGAAACCCAGGATCAAGTCCCACATCAGGCTCCCTGCATGGAGCTTGCTTCTCCCTCTGCCTGTGTGTCTGCCTCTCTCTCCTTTTGTCTCTCTCATGAATAAATAAATATTTTTAAAAGTTTCTCTCTTCCTCCCTCTGTCCCCACATACTCTCTCTCAAATAAATCTTTTTTTTTTAAAAAAAGAGCAAACTAATAACTCTGTATTTAATCAAAATTGAAATTTTTTTCCTAAAAACCACCATTAAGGAAAGGGCAAGTCACAGACTGGGGGAAAATATTCACACATGTATCAGACAAAAGACATGCATCTAGAATAAAGAACACTTACAACTCAATAATAAGATAAACAATTTTTTTAAATTTTTATTTATTTATGATAGTCACAGAGAGAGAGAGAGAGAGAGAGAGAGAGAGAGAGAGAGAGAGAGGGGCAGAGACACAGGCAGAAGGAGAAGCAGGCTCCATGCACCGGGAGCCCAACGTGGGACTCGATCCCGGGTCTCCAGGATCGCGCCCCGGGCCAAAGGCAGGCGCTAAACCGCTGCGCCACCCAGGGATCCCCAGATAAACAATTTTTAAAATAGCAAAAGATCTGAACTCTAATAAAAAGGAATGAGCTACCAATAAAAGCAACAACATGGATAAATCTCTAATTATTCTGAAAAAGGATAGAAAAAAGTATAAACCATATGATTACAGTTATACAACCTGTACAAAAGGCACGCTACTCTGTAGTAGCAGAGGGCAAGCCAATAGTTTCCTGGGGATGGGGACAGAGGGAGGAATGAGTTGCAAGTGGGTACATAAAAATTTTGGCAGGTAATGGAAATGTTATCTTGACATTGTAATAGTTTCACAACTATATAAATGGCAAACTGATCAAAATGAAGATTTTCAATGTAAGCCGTTTATTAGATTTCAACACAGTGGGCAAGGGGCATTTAGCTTAGGAACATTCTATCTTCCTTTCAATAATACTATATTAAGGACATTAAAAAAATTCATCCAGAATTGTCCCAGACATGATGAAAAAAGCTTAGTCCCTTATAAACAACTATTTGGAACCCAAGGGTAATAAAACAGTTCTAATCAATCCTTCTACAGAAGGAGGATCCTCTGAAGCAGCAAAAATATTCAGCTTAAAGTTTAAAAAATTTCGGGCACTTGGGTGGTTCAGTCCATTAAGCAGGTGCTTTCAACTCAGGTCATGATCTCAGGGTCCTGGGACTGAGCCCAGAGCCAGCTTCTCCCTCTGCCCATCCCCTGCTCATGGGTGTGCACGCGCGCTCTCTCTCTCTCTCTCTCTCTCTCTCTCTCAAATAAAATCTTTTTAAAAGAGTTTACAAATTCAGGACACCTGGGCGGCTCAGCAGTTGAGCATCTGGCTTCAGTTCAGGGTGTGATCCCAGAGTCTGGGATCGAGTCCCGCATTGGGCTCCCTTTTAGAAGCCTGCTTCTTCCTCTGCCTATGTCTCTGCCTCTCTGTGTCTCTCATGAATAAATACATAAAATCTTAAAAAAAAAAAAAAAGTTTAAACATTATTTAGAAGACAGTGACAAAATGTTTTTAGTTATTCACTAACATGAACTAATGTATGAACCTCATCATTCTATAGTTCTAAATATCCTTGCCCTCTCTACACGCACGGAGAAACATACACCAAAAAATTAACAAAACTCACACATACAAACACAAAACACCTTTGCTTCCCTTCTCCAAATCAGGTATAAATGAGAAGCATTTTCCTTTTGTCCTTTTTTTTTTTTTTAAGATTTTATTTATTTGAGAGAGAGAAAGAGAGAACATGCAAGCATAAGCGGGGGGAGCAGCAGGGAGAGGGAGAGGGAGAGGGAGAAGCAGGTCCCTGGATGACCAAGGAGTAGGACGTGGGGCTCAATCCCAGAACCTTGGGATCACAACCTGAGCCAAAGGCAGGTGCTTAACCAACAGAGCCACCAGGTGCCCCACCAACCCCTCGTTCTTTAAATACTCCCAAGAGTGAATCCTACCAAGACAGTTGTAAAACTGAAATGTATGAAGAATTCCGCTTACAACAGTCAAAATAAGTAACACCATAAAGGCAATAGTTCATCTGGTTAACATTCTCTTTTTCCACTTTGTAAATTTGGTTAAAGATGTGGTAAAATTCTTTGCTACTCTTACAGTAAATGTAAAAAGAATACTTCCTTTTTATGAAGTTCAATAGTAAGAAGACAGACAAAAATAATCAACTTCAATTAATCACTTGCCCATTATTGAGAAAGGACATTAGAGTCTATAGAAAATTTTTAAGATCATGATTTTACATACAGGCCTATATGAACAGGTGCATAGAATCCCTTTTCATCACCTCAAAAATGAAACTAAATGTCAGTAAATGGGTATGAAAAAGAAACCCCAGAATTTAAAAAAAATCCAAAAACAAAGGTAAGCTAAGCCACTTTACCTAATCAATCTTTCACTTACAAAACAGCTAGCTTACCTGCAAGAGTTGTCTACATTTATTGTATTTTTCTGTTTTGTCAGCAATTTCTTTGGTCATTTCACAGACTTGTCCCTTTGTTACAATGTCAGAATCTGTCTCGGCTATTACAAGGCAGAAACAGTATTATTAAAAATTACTTTGCCCCTTAAATTATCTTCTTGCTCAGAATAACAAAGGTCAGTATACTGTGAAATAAATGAAATACTAAAGGAGAGAAATATCTGAAAACATCTATTCATACACTCAATAAAAATAAGATAAATTCAACATGAGAATTTAAATGTTAGTTTGTCCAGAAACAAGCTCACATTCAATAATGAAAAGGATTATTTTTTTTAACTAACTAAAAATAGTTTTTAAATGGCACGCTTGTTCTCTTCATATAACTAAACAGGATAAATAGAAAGCCATGCTCTGATAAAACACCTAAGTCCTTTTTCTAGTCCTTCATTACTATTCATTATGTCTTCATTAAGTAAATAATTTACACAACACCACTCTAGATATGAGAGAGGATGTACAGAAATGGAAGTCAGGATCCTGTTCAACAGTGGCTGAACCTAATTAAATATTTAGTAACATGGGAAATTTATAATACATTTAAAAATTCTACAACAGCAATTACTCCAAGCACTACACAAGGAAATGTATTTTTATATACTCTAGTGCCGATTTTCATTACTGTCAAATCTCTTAACATAAGGTGAAAAAAATTAAGCCAAGTGAAAACCTACAGTTAATTCATATTTTCATTTCATATATTCACTAGATCTTTCTAATCTGTTCTATAAATTAATAAACTAATACAAATTTAACTGATCTACCAACAGGTACACTAACCAGAAAGTACCCTAATGATCTCAAGAAGTCACACACACACACACACACAAAAGAAGAAAACCATGAACAGAACAGGGGATTTATTTTTCCCCCAACAGAATTATACAATTAAAGCTCCCATAAACGCTTGAAAATTCCACAGATTTAGTGGAATAGTAATTAAAAATTCAACACTGGCTTTTTGTCCTATAGCCTAAGGGCTATCAGCATTTAAGCTTATAAACTACAGCTCATTTAATACTTATGAATTCTCTCATGAAGATAAAAACTAGGTTCACATATTTTGTATATTTCACATGCATGACTTTCTTACTTTTAGGCCCCTACTTTATTTTTGCCTTAATTCTCTCACTTGTAAGAATTTTTAGAAGCTCCCTTAAATTCATATACCTGGAACAAGGAAGTATAAAGTAAGTATCAATATTGTCAAGGCAGGACAGTATGCAAAAGGTCTAAACAATTTTTACCTGCTGAAGGTGCTGGCTTTACATCTATAGTAGAGGCAATAGTAGCTGGGTCTGTGTTTATTGACGCGTCATTCACTTTTTGCTGATTCCCAATTTTCTTTAAGACACTGTTGCTATTGGCCTATTCAAAATGTTAACAATAAATTATCATAGGAGTTTTATGTCCTTCCTTCAGTAACTGCCATATAAAGAAATTCTGAGAAGTTGACAAAGCTGCTACTGCGTTTTAAAGGCCAACAAAGACTAAAGGTAACATATATCATTCTCTACTAAGTGACCAAAGTATTATAAAAGAGAAAAATTTTACTTTGGTTTTCATTGACAAACCATCAAAATACCACCAAAACAAGACACAAAAATCTCCTAAGTCATCTACTGCAAAGTCATAATATACTTACAGGCCCCAAACCAAAAGTCATACATGTGGGTCATACTTAAAGTATTTTTTCACAAAAGCCTTCCTAGCTTAACACATGCATTTCTATGAAAAAATCTGTACCAGGCGGCCCAAGTGGCTCAGTTGGCTAACTGTTTTGCCTTCAGCTCATATCATGATCTTAGAGTCCTAGAATCGAGCTCATCAGGCTCCCTGCTCAGCAGGAGTCTGATTTTTCCCTCTTCTTCTCCCTCTGCCTCTTTCCCCAATTTGTGCTCTAATACATTTTTTTAAAAGGGGGGATTTAGAGGGAAACGGTCAAGAAAAGAGGACCTTCCTTCCTATCTTTTTTTCCTGCTGCTGCCCTGTTTTTCTCTGTTGGTTTTCCAGCAAATAAGAATTCTAGATTAAAAAAGGTATGTATCACTACAATATTAGACCAATGACTTCAAAGCGGACCACTAACTTCAAATCAGCAGAGATAAATAGTATTAAAAAGGCTGATATTTAGGGAACCCTGGGTGGCGCAGCGGTTTGGCGCCTGCCTTTGGCCCAGGGCGCGATCCTGGAGACCAGGGATCGAATCCCACGTTGGGCTCCCGGTGCATGGAGCCTGCTTCTCCCTCTGCCTGTGTCTCTGCCCCTCTGTCTCTCTCTGTGTGACTATCATGAATAAATAAATACAAGCATAAGCGGGGGAGAAAAAAAAAAAAAAAAAGGTTGATATTTAGAATATTATAAATCTGGGGGCACTTGGCTGGCTCAGTTGAAAGAGTATATGACTCGATCTCAGAGTCATGAATTCGAGCCCCACGTGGGATGCAGAGATTACTTAAATAAATCAAAGCTTCAGAATATAAATTTGATTTGTAAAGAAAAATATTAGATATGCGTTCAATTGTCCTTACTGATTGGTCTGAAAGTTTGTTTATTTGTTTTTGGAGCCTCTGGCATTCCTTGAATTTTTCTTTATAATGATCTGCTGCCATCTGAAGACGAAGTTTCAAATCTTCAACTTCTCTTCTCAGTTCATGTTCCAGTGTATCAGTCTTTTCCTATGACAAAAATACACATACACTTCCTCTCAAAAAAAAAAAGTTAAAAATCTCCAATCTCATAATGTAATAGTAAATCCCAACTTCATTTTCACTTTTTTCTTTCTGGCTTTTAATTTTTATTTGTTTTGGAGGTTTGGCAACAGAGCCACATTAGCTCCTAATAAATTCAGCTTTATATTCTTAGGATCAAGGTTCATTAAAAAACTAGAGAAGAACAATCCACCTCCTGAGGAGTAAGTATTACCCTGTTAAATAACCATAATACCACTTTATGAAGCTAATAAATAAGAAATTCCAAATAAAGCAATATACAACTGACATCAGAAAGTTTAACAATAAAACAATAATAGAGTAGCTTACTAACCATTAGGCATTTGCCTGCATAAGTTTTTCTTAAAGCTTACATAAATTTCAACGCAAGGAGTTACAATGGCTAAACGAAATGAATGGAAATTTAAATTTCTGTGATAAGGAATCTGACCTTATTTTGATATACCTGTTTTCTTCTGTAAGCTTGTAGTGAGTTTTTGATCAAAATGAAAATTCAAAATTAACCACTTTACCTGGTCTTTTTTCACAGCATTCAGTTTAAGTTCTGCCAGTGCATCAGCTAACTGCTTTTTTACTTTCTCATTTTCCAAGCGTGCAGTATGCAGATCTGCCATTGTTTTATCTCGCACATTTACAGCATCACTAAGTTCTTTTGCCAGAAAGACAACTTCTTGCCGAGTTGCCTGGACCTGTTCCTCTGCTTTACGAAGTTGCTCCTTCAAAAAAAAGGTATCTTCCTGAAGAAAAGCAGATAAATATATTTGTAATGAAGCCATTAAAATAAAAACAGGAGAAACAATTTTTATTCATATTTCAAAAGATCTAAAACTTCAAATTAACTATTTTTTATTCCTTAGATGAAAGTACATAAATCTATAAAAAACTTAAGATATGACTCTGTTAGAGTCCATGTAACAACCCAAAGCACTCAGTATCTCTATTACTTTAAATACATGTAAACTGAAGTTCAGAAGTCAGGCAACATACCCAGTACTTAAAAGCCCTAGCTTAAATGGGAATTCAAATGAAAGCTCCTGTCCCCAGGGACGCCTGGGGTGGCTCAGCGGTTGAGTGTCTGCCTTTTGGCTCAGGACATGATCCCAAAGTCCCGGGATGGAGTCCCACATCGGGGTTCCTGCATGGAGCCTGCTTCTCCCTCTGCCTCTCTCTCTCATATGAATAAATGGAAGGAAGGAAGGAAGGAAGGAAGGAAGGAAGGAAGGAAGGAAGGAAGGAAGGAAGGAAGGAAGGAAGGAAGGAAGGAAGGAAGGAAGGAAGGAAGGAAGGAAGGAGGAAGGAAGAAGAAGGAAGGGAAAAGAAAGGAAGAGAAGAGAAGAGAAGAGAAGAGAAGAGAAGAGAAGAGAAGAGAAGAGAGAAAGAAGAAAGAAAGAAAGAAAGAAAGAAAGAAAGAAAGAAAGAAAGAAAGAAAGAAAGAAAAAGAAAGAAAGAAAGAAAGAAAGAAAGAAAGAGAAAGAGAGAGAAAGAGAAGAAAGAGAGAAAGAAAAAAGAAAGAAAAGAAAAGAAAAGAAAAGAAAAGAAAAGAAAAGAAAAGAAAAGAAAAGAAAAGAAAAGAAAAAGCTCCTGTCTCCAAGAACCTTTAACAACTGGAAATACTGACCCTCATTTTTTAAATAATTGCCAATAAAAATAATTTCAAAAACTTCTCTGTCATTCCAAAAATTATGGTTAAAATAAGTCTATTAACTAACTTAAAACATTTCCAATGTAACACTAATATACTATTACATATCATTCATTATGAAAACACAGAATAGATTTAGAACTTAGTTCTAAAAACAAATTATTGCTATGCAAATAGCAAAGATGAGGCACTAGGAAAGTAAAAATTAACACTGCTTAACCTAAAAGTATCTTTATTTTTTTAGGATCTTATTAGAGAGAGAGAGAGCGTGCACATGCAGGGTTAAGGTCAGAAAGGAAGGAGGAGAAATAAGACTTCCTCCTGAGCAGGGGACATGATGTGGGGCTCGATTCCAGGACCCTATGATCGTGACCTGAGCTGAACACAGATGCTTAACCGACTGAGCCACCCAGGCCCCTCTAAAAAGTATCTTTTAAAAAAGTTAAAATTGCTGGTAAGAAAAAGTGAAAATTGCCATGATAAAATTATTTCCTTTAATATTATAAGCCCAACAAATCCACTTTAACTTTCCTATTTTTATCTCTGTACTAAAAGTTACAAACTCAGGAAAAGTGCAACTCATTCTTCGTTTTTAAATTCTTAGATCCTGGGACACCTAGGTGGCTCAGCAGTTGAGCGCCTGCCTTTGGCCCAGGGCGTGATCCTGGAGCCCTGGGATCGAGTCCCACATCAGGCTCCTTGCATGGAGTCTGCTTCTCCTTCTGCCTGTGTCTCTGCCTCTCTCTCTCTCTGTGTGTGTCTGTGTGTCTCTCATGAATAAATAAAATCTTTTTAATAAATAAATAAATAGATAGATTAATTAATTAATTGATTGATTCTTAGCTCCTGAAGCACCAGGCTGGCTTAGCTGGTGGAGCATGTGACTCTTGGTCTCAGGGTTATAAGCTCAAGCCCCATGCTGGGCACAAAGTCTATTTAGATAAATGAATAAATAAATAGCTCCTTAGAAGAAAATAAATGATTATGTACTGTTAGGTAGAGAAAATCTTTATAGATATTACATTAATAGATCTATGTAAATATCACTAGCTTCTATATGTCAAAAGGAAAAAAAGAAACAAAAAACTCAAAATTGTTTGGAATATATTCAGAAAAAGACACAATAATACTGATATAAACATATTTTCTAGTCAACAGGAAAAAACTCTCCCGCTCCCCCAAAAATTAAGAGAATGGCATGACCATGAAATTTTTTTTTAAAAGAAAAGGCCATTATGCAGATTAAAAAAAAAAAAAACTCCTCAACAAAGAAGTTAAAACAAATACCATTTTCTTTCAACTGACAAAGATTCAAAAACAGGGATACTCCAATATTTTGATGACATTAGGGAAATTAGCACATTTATAAACAGATGGGCTATGTATCTGTAAGTAGTATAAAGTTTCTCATCAGATTTTTACAACATTCACAACACTGTTAAAAAGCACGTAACAACAAAAAGCACGTAACTTCTGATCTAGCAGTTTTATTTTCATGAGTTTCAAGAAAATAAAAAGTATGTACATAAGTTTAGCTTCACAGGGATTCAGTATCATTACTAAAATAATGACAATTATTAAAAATTGAAAATACGTAATAGGAGAATTTACTATAAATTCCACAATATATCCTTCACACAATGAAAGTCTGTGCTGCCATTATAAACTGGAGTATATACAATGGGGTATTTTTTTTAAAGCAATTTGAAAATAACTATGAAATTATTCTGGTATGTATGTGAGCCTACATATCTGTATGAGGAGGTTTACCTCAGCATGCTTATAAAAGCTAAAGATTGTACACAACTAAAAGCAATCACACACTACAACACAGCTATTAAATAAAACAAGGGATTCTATGCAGCTGTTATAGCAACTGCAGAAGACCTATATGGGTACTCATACTGTAAGATGTCCAGATACTCTATAAAAAAATTTTTACGGGGATCCCTGGGTGGCGCAGCAGTTTAGCGTCTGCCTTTGGCCCAGGGCGCGATCCTGGAGACCTGGGATCGAGTCCCACGTCGGGCTCCCGGTGCATGGAGCCTGCTTCTCCCTCTGCCTATGTCTCTGTCTCTCTCTGTCTCTGTCTCTCTCTCTCTCTCTGTGACTATCATAAATAAAAAAAAATAAAAATAAAAGAACTATTTGAAAGTCACATCTTCTTAAAAAAAAATTTATGCGTTTTTAAAAAAACATTTTCGTTATCTATTCATGCAAGACACACAGAGAGTGAAGCAGAGACACAGGCAGAGGGAGAAGCAGACTCCATGCAGGGAGCCTGATTCAGGGGTCAATCCAGGACTCCAGGATCATGCCCCAGGGCTGAAGGCAGACACTCAACCACTGAGCCACCCACCCAGGTGTCCCTCTATAAAAATTTTTTAAAAGGTTTTGGAACATTATATATATTCTTAGTTTATATAAAAATGTAAATTCTATATGTACATTCATAGATTTCTAGAAAAATTTAAAATTCTCTAAGACCTACCTGGGAAGGGATAAGGGTTATTTTTACTTTATATCCTTTATGTACTATTTGAATTATGATATAACCATGACCTTGTACTGCTTTACAAAAAAAAACTTTAAGTTGTAATAATTAATGGGGCTCCTGGCTGATTCACTTGACTCTTGATCTCAGGGTCATGGGTTCAAAGCCCTACATTGGGCATAGAATTTTTTTTAAAAAAAGTTTAACAAGAGTCTATTTTCTCAGGTATTTTTAAACCTGTTGTTTTCCTTACTGAGGTCTTGTTTTCTTTTTTTTTTTTTTATTTAAAATATTTTATTTATTTATTCTTGAGAGACAGAGAGAGAGAGAGAGAGAGAGAGAGAGAGAGAGAGGCAGAGACACAGACACAGACACAGGCTCCCATGTGGGGAGCCTCATGTGGGACTTGATCCCAGGACCCCAGGATCACGCCCTGGGCTGAAGGCAGAGCTAAACCGCTGAGCCACCCAGGGATCCCTGAGGTCTTGTTTTCATAGGAAAGAGATGTTAGAGAAAATTTTAGCATTTTAATGAATTAAATACACTTTTCACTTCTGTACTTCCAATGTGCTATATTAAATATCCTGAAAAGTAACTTGGGTGTTAATCATAAATTCTAAATGTCATGCACAACTGACGTTTTAGGTGTTATACCTGAGTATATTTAATAGCAAACTACTGAAAATGAAATAATACTCATTCATAAAAGAAATCAAGGTAAACTTGCCCAATCTAGTATTGCGCAGCCATTTAAAAAAATTCGAAGATCTCCCTGAACAGATATGGAGTAATTTTTTTCAGTTTATATTATTCTATTTTAAAAAGGTGCAAAAAGTATATATAGCATGGCAATTTTTTTTTTAAGAGAGAAGGCAATAGACAAAAGTTTGTGCACATACACATGCTTATTTTTGCAGAAAGAAACAGGAGGGGGGTACCTGCATGGCTCAGTCATTAAGGGTCTGCCTAAGGATCAGGTCATGATCCCAGGGTCCTGAGATAAAGCCCCACATCAGGATCCTGGGCTGGAGCACAATATCAGCCTGCCTGCTCAGTGGGGAGTCTGCTTCTCCCTCTTCCTCTGCCCCTCCCCTTGCTCATTCTCTCCCAAATAAATAAATCTTCTAAAAATTTTTAAAAAACTAAACAGGAGGATAAACTGGAAACTAATGAAAATGTTTTTTAAAGATTTTTATTTATTTTTTCATGAGAGACACACAGAGGGAGTGAGGCAGAGACACAGGCAGAGGGAGAAGCAGGCTCCATATAGGGAGCCCAACGTGGGACTCGATCCCGGGACTCCAAGATCACGACCTGAGCCAAAGGTAGACACTCAACCACTGAGCCACCCAGGCGTCCCAAAAATGTTTTTAAATATGGGTAATAAGGGCTTTTTAGGGAAGACAGACATCAGAGTAAATTTTTTTATAATTGTTTTCACTTTTGAATGATGCAACTATTTAATATATTCAAAACAAAATTCAATCAAAAGGTTAAGAGAGTAAAATCTAATCTTAGAATTATTGCAAATAAAAAAGTTAAGCTGTATAAATATTCACTGTCCATAAATGTTAAAAAGTTAATTCAAATAACTGTTGAACACAGTACTCTGTACATCCTTACTGAAATAAAATCTAAGAAAAAGGCTTGAAAGAATTTTATTTAGAAGACATAGTTGGGAGTGGTTTAACACTTCAGAAACTATTGGTGTGTGTAACAGGGTAGACTACATGAATAAATATAATGATGTGTTGGAAACAAGGGCTCTCACACTGAGAGAAGAGATAAATATGGAATGGAGGAAGAGAAGGAAGAATCCTAAAGTACTGAATCTGAATTGGAGAGAACTATACAAAGACTTTAAATGTTTGTCCAACGAAAGTGCAAAGAAGCAAAGGCCCCTAGTAGCAAAAGGATCCAATATGAAAATACCAAAATACTATTAATTTCACGATTTTCCACCCTCTTCCTCTGTCCTTCCCCCTGCTCACATTCCAAAATAAAATCTTAAAAAAAAAAAAAAAAAAAAAGGTCTGGAACAGCTCCCTGGCTAAATATGAGACAATTTGGGTATGAAAAAGAATAATGATGATGTATGATACACTGAACAAAAAAGAATCCCTAAGTCCACAGTGATATGAAAAGAAGGGAGAGGGCAACAGAGAACCTCACTATAAAAGAACACCTACTAATAAATGTAAAATAGTAATTTTTTTTAAGTCACCATTTTGTAATAGTAACTGATGCAGGTGAAAATCATCAAGGGATAAAAACCATTAGGTGAAAGGCTACTGGGGACAAGGATGTTCGTATGATCTCCAAGTATTATCCTACATATTACTCAATAATCATAAAGAAGGGGATCCCTGGGTGGCGCAGCGGTTTAGCGCCTGCCTTTGGCCCAGGGCGTGATCCTGGAGACCCGAGATCAAATCCCACGTTGGGCTCCCGGTGCATGGAGCCTGCTTCTCCCTCTGCCTATGTCTCTGCCTCTCTTTCTCTGTGTGTGACTATCATAAATAAATAAAAATTAAAAAAAAAATAATCATAAAGAAGGAAAAAGCACCAATATAATAGATTCAGGCAGATATAACTTTAAACAAATTATTACACCTAACGTCAAGAACAGATTTGACATTATGTGACTTTTGATAACACTTCAACAGAATATATAAAAATCATTTATGCCTTTTCTTGACAAAAAAAAAGTTTGACCTGAATCTAATCCTAAAGAAAGGATATATAAATACAGATTACAGACCATTTTCTCACACAAACCTGAATTCTTCAAAATTATCAATGTCATTAAAAAAAACAAGGATAGGGTCACTGTTCTAGATTAGAGCAAACCAAGAACACAATAATCAAAATAATGTGTGATCTTTACCCCTGGGTCAAGAAATTTTAAAGGTTATATAGAAACATTTGGGACAATTTGAATATACTAAAACTATATATACAGGAATGCATATTATCTTATGAATGTTGTATTTCTTAAATATGTTAATGGTTTTGGTGGTCATACTGAATAATGTACTTACTTGTTGACAAGGAAGACATGCTAACGTACTTAAGATGTAATGTCATAATCCCTCTAAGTTTGAAATTTTTCAAGAGAAAAGGTTGAGGACAGATTAAAAACCACTATATTTAAAAAAAAAACACTATATTTAATAGACATAGGTTTTACAATCTTCAAATACATATTGCAAAAGTACTTACCTTACTTGAGGTTGTAAGCAAGAAAGCCCTTTGCAGATTTTCCTTTTCAGCCAAACAGAACTGCAGCCTGCCAATCTCTTCTTTGAAATGAGTAATCATGCTTTCTTTGTTCCCATCTAAATTCTTCAAAGTCTGGACCTCTGACACAAGTTTGGTATTTTCTATTTCGGTATTCTTCAGATGTACCTGTAACAGTGCTTGAAAATGTCAAGAAAACTCTAGATCCAAAACCTAAATTTCTCAAATTTCAAAATACCAATGTTTCTCTCTAGCCTAAGTATGATCAAGGAATTGGAAGACTTACTAGACAGGGAGTCAAGAGACTCAAGGTGTATCAAATGACTAGCTAATATACAGGAACAGAACATAGCCTAAGTTTGAGTTTTTGTTTTTAATTTTTCATAGAGATTATATCTAAGGTCTAACAACATTACCTGACCTCTAAAGTCTTTTCCATTGATTTAATAAATTTAAGTTCTCTTTAAAAATGCAAACCGATTTGGTTGTTCTTTTGGAGGAACAAATTATTTCATAGGTATAATCAGATAGAAAGGCATGGTGAGATTCTGGAACACTGAAGAGGTACATTCAAGAACATCTTAGGGGTGGCTGGGTGGCTAAACGGTTGAACAGCTGTCTTCGGCTCAGGACATGATCCTGCACCAAGCTCCCTGCAGGGAGCCTGCTTCTCCCTCTGCCTATGTCTCTGCCTCCTCTCTGTGTCTCTCATGAATAAATAAATAAAATCTTTAAAAAAAAAAAAGTGTTTTATCAATTCCTCTTAATTCTGACAGGACAGGGACAGGTCATATGATCTCATAGGGGCTAGAGGAGAGAAACAAAAGGTATCTCCCTGGTTATTTATATAAGCCACCTGAAAGGGAAAGCCTGTTTCTGAGATGAACAATATAATGAGGTCTTATCATACTAAGTATAGTCTCCTTGCCATTAAAAAAAGAAAGAAAAAAAAAACCCCACAAAACAAAAATCTCTAAGGAAGTTTTACTTCCAATTTTTGCGGATACACACATACAAATGAAATACTGTTTGGAACACTGGGAGGCTGGGGGAGAGTATATGCAAACGGAAATTTTGATGTCACTTTGATCCCAATTGAAAAGCTTATGGAAAACTAGAGATATTACCATACTATAAAAGAATAAATCCCTAAGGCACCTCATTCTTTCCCTTCCTTCCTTACTGCCCAGTCTTTTGCAAAGGACTCATCATTCAGATGTAAAACAAACACAAGTATGCAGAAGGTGAAAAAAAGCAAAGTATAAGGGATAATTTAGAGCAGTAAAGGAAAAATGCTGAATTTACCTTAAAATGTGCTTGTTAACCCTCTACAAAACATCAGAAGTCCTAGTCTCAGGACAGAAAGAAAAAGCAGGATGGAAATAACATCTTTAAGGATAGATCTTTCTCTTTCCAAAATAACTCTCCTAGTTGTCATTCATTACACCTCTTCAGCATCACTGTTTTAACTTAAGGACCTTCCTAAACCCTTCCCAATACTAAAGAGAAGGCCTTCAGAATTCATCTTATTATTGAATTGAAATGACTGAAGACATACACATTCAATCTTATTATCTCCCACTGTGCTAAGAAAAAATAAAAGCAATTATCCACAGAGAAATAATGCTCAGGTCTTTTCCTGGCAACAAAACTGAAATATTCTCACTGAAATTCATTGAGTAAAAAATTATTCGAGATGCTAAATTTTAGCTTACTTAAGAAATGCTTTACAACTTTAAAAATAAACTGCATTTGGAGGAGGTTTGCAAAAACACCGTATAAACAGTAATTCAATTGTTATCAATTTTTCTAGATGTATTTATTATTTCCCCTTTTCACAAAATGTGTTCAAAAACCAAACATTATTTTGGGGCATATTTTCTTAAAGGGTCAAATCATAAAATCACCCACCAGTGAATCATGTTTTGGGAGTGACAAACATACATGCATACATGTACGCACACCCTGGGGATAAGCTATTCAAGAAATAAAATGAGTTTAACACAGTATGTAAAATGTCCCCATCCATCCTTTCTGTCCTAAGGTGTATGGTGGATTCAAGACCTACCTTCTAAAATAGCAAAAACAAAAACAAAACAAAACCACTACCAAAAAAGGAAGGGGACACCTGGGTGGCTCAGAGGTTGAGCATCTTGGGGTGTGATTCCAGAGTTGCAAGATCTAGTCCCACATTAGGCTAGTCCCACATTCTCCCTCTGCCTATGTCTCTGCCTCTCTCTCATGAATGAATAAAATCTTAAAAAAAATTTCCTCATCTGGAAATGCCTTCAAGAACTGCTATTAGCTACTTAAGATAAATGTCTCGGGATCCCTGGGTGGCGCAGCGGTTTGGCGCCTGCCTTTGGCCCGGGGCGCGATCCTGGAGACCCGGGATCGAATCCCACATCGGGCTTCTGGTGCATGGAGCCTGCTTCTCCCTCTGCCTGTGTCTCTGCCTCTCTCTCTCTCTCTGTGACTATCATAAATAAATAAAAATTAAAAAAAAATTAAAAAAAAAGATAAATGTCTCAATTTATATTTACATTATTGGTAATTAAGCTAACCATTCTATTTCCAAATCATTCAAAAAAGAAAAACTTCAGAAGGTGAGGATTAGAACATTTTTTTAAATGACATTTTCTGAAGAATATTCTAAAAGTCAAACTTTAAAACATGACAATTGTCATTGAAATTAATGCTCTAAAACATATGATGTTCTTAAAAGGGGAAACATTTGGTTTTATAAATTCTGATAAACAGTAGGTATCTTGTTACTTTGACTTATTATGTATCACCTGCTAAGTAACTAAAATACCAGCAATTCCCTGAAAACTTTTAGGGACTACACACTTGAGAGGTAGTTTTCAAATAGATCCCCAAATCCTCTGATACTTCTCTGCAAGAAGTGAAGCCCAACTCCCCTCTCCTTAAGTAGTGGCTTGAGCCAAGTGACTGGGCTTCTAACGAGCAAGATAAAGTAGAAGAAATAACATTCAACTTTGGTGACTAGGTCATAAAGTGCACTAGGACTTCCTATTTGCTCTCTTGGAGAGCTCACTCCAAGGGAAACTGGCTGCCATGCTGTGAAAACATTCAAGCAGCCACTGAAGATGCCACATAGCCTACACAGTTTCTGTCAAGAGGCATCCTGTCAAGAGACTCCTGTCAAGAGTCATTTGTGTGAGCCACCTTGATTGCAGACCCTCCAGTTCCAATTAAGCCTGTAGCTGACTATAGCCCTAGTCAACATCCTAAATGCAAATGACCAAGACATCCTAAGCCAAAACCATGTAGCTAAGCTCCTTTCAAGCTTCTGACCACTGAATTTCAGAGTAATTTGTTACACAGCAATAGATAACAAATAAAAATGAAATTAAGGGCAGCCCGGGTGGCTCAGTGGTTTAGTGCCATCTTCAGCCCAGGATGTGATCCTGGAGACTCGGATTGAGTTCCACGTCAGGCTCCCTGCATGTAGCCTGCTTCTCTCTCTGCCTATGTCTCTGCCTCTCTCTCTGTCTCTCATGAATAAATAAATAAAATCTTTAAAAAAATGAAATTAATAAAGTACCTTATAAAGTTCCTTCTCATCCTTTTCTGTCTTCAATTGACATTCCAGTTGTTCTCTTTCATACTGTGCTTTCCTGAGTTTATCCTTTAAACTGAGTTAAAGTAACATTAATATAGACCAAAAAAATTCATTGAAACATTTCTGAAACAAAAGTATTGTTGAAAACCATCAGAAATACCTGTCTAATTCAGTTTCTTTTTCAATTGCTTTATGTGTCACTGATACAATATCTTCTTCAAGTTGGAGAGCTTTGGATGTAGCATCATTGTATCTCTTCTTAAACTCTTCATTTTCTGTTTTTAAACTTTGTGATACTTCAATAAGATCCTTAGAAACAACAAAGTATTTTGAGAAATGTAACTTCTAAAACAAATGTGCATATCTTGCAATATCCCATATTTGTCCCCTCTAAAGTCTATAAACTAAGATTAAAAAACTAAACCTGAGACTGAAGGTTACATTCTACTTTTCATATACCAAATTAAACATTTATTAATTTTTTTCAGACTTCCCATATACCCTGTTTGTTGATTCCACAAGCTTCTCCACCAGAGGGCAGGCAAAAATGAGAAAAAAAAAATTTTAGTCACTTTCATTTTTGACATACTTTTCAATGCTACTCTAGTGACAAATCAGTTTCATATGATACTATCACAGTTAACACCGTCTCAAAAAAACGAAAAACAAAATATCCTTCTGTTCTAGCACAGATTAAGTGCCACCAATAATTATACCAAAATACTAATTTAAGGTATGTGCCTGAAGCAACGTTACTAATGATCTGATCACTGGGACTCAGAGGCCTGAATATGCAAAGAAACAGAAATATAAAAGTAGTAAATGCAATAAAAAAGTTTCTATTTAAAATAGAATATATTCCACCACAAACAATTTAAAAGTTATAAAAATTTTAACACATCAAGACAATTAAGTAACTTACAAGAACCTGATCACGCTCCTCTCTAAATTCATTTCATGATCTGTAACATGAAGATAAAGCTTTTTCTCCCTAGCTAATAAAATCATGAGAATCAAATTTAACAATGTATATGGAGATACTCTGTTATGGAAACCTATACATCAAAGAACTGATAAGACAAATTATTTTGTTAAAAAATGATTTTAAAACTTCCCATAATGAAAGTGCCACCCACCTAGGCAATAGAAGCTAAAGTAAATCACCATGTTTATAATTTAAACATAAGAAACGTTATATAGTATTTATAAGCCACTTCAATTTTCATAAAGTGAAATATCACTTAAAATATATTGCTAGAATATGAAAATTACTATGTTGCATCTACACTTCATTTAAAAACTCATCAAAATAATGGTCAGATATATTCTGCTGGTTTTATTTTTGTTCAGCAAATGTTTCCTTACTAAATTTGCAATATTAAACATTGTTACATAAAACTAAATGCTTATCATGCTGAGTAAAGTAAACGTCAATGGGAGAAAGACAACCATATGGTTTCACTCATATGTGAAATATAAGAAATAGTCAAAAGATCATAAAGGAAAGGAGGAAAACTGAGTGGGGAAAAATTAGAAAGGAAGACAAACCATGACAAACTTCTAACTCTGGGAAACGAAGGGCTGCAGAAGGGGAGGTGGGTGGGGGAACAGAGTAACTGGATGACAGGCATTAAGGAGGGCACATGATGAGATGAGCAATGGGGGTTATACTATATGTTGGCAAACTGAATTTAAATAAAGTAAAAAAACTAAGTGCCTTTCTGATTCCAATGACAACACCATAGAAATAAATAACATTCCCTCTGCTGTAAACTGTTGTCAATATCCAATGATTCTTGCAAATCTTAGAAAATGCGATAGAGAGCAAATGGAGGCCCACAGCAGACTCCAGAGGTGGGGCTCCATCCCAGGACCCTGGAATCAGGACCTGAGCCAAAGGCAAACAATAGACTGAGCCATCCAGACGCCCCAATTCTGCAAATCTGACACATTTTTCAGTTATCTGTCTTGCTGATTTATAAAGAGAGCCAGAGAGGTTTCTAAACAGTTTTTTGTTTTTATTTTTTTGTTTTGTTTTTTTTTTTTTAATTTTGTATTGTTAGTTTTGCCACATGTTCTCTTGGCACTGCAAATAGGCTACAGATTTTATCCAGGTATCTCTTCTTTCAAGAAGACCACAATGCCTAGAAGCAAAAACTATTTTATGAATCTATAATTAATGAAGTTCCATAACAGGTAAACAACATTCTAAAAGTGTATGGGGCAAGAACTAGAGAAGATTCATAAGCAACTAAATGCAAAACAAGAACTTAATCCTTTATCTAGGAGCCAGTTAACTTTACAGTGAGTCACAAATTAATTCTAATGTAACTTGACAGTCTTAGAATCTTTTCCTGTTACCCATAAAAGCACCTAAGCTTCTCAGCATCCATACCTATTTTCTAATGGCATGAAAATGCTAAAGATTATTCTTCAGGCTTCTAGTTTTCTTGTCTGAGTGAAGCATTGCATCTCCATTTGGCTAAGTCTTTTCACAGCATGAAAATGACATACAACTAAAAATCCTGCTTTCTTTAAAAGCTGACTTTAAAAAAAAATAAAATTTAGAATACAATTTTTGAAAAACACTTGAAATTTGAGAGATCCATTCAGTCAATATTTGCAAATCATGCCCAAAAACTAATTCTATTAAAGTAACCCTTAGACTAAGTCTGCTATACTGTGCATCAAGATAAAAATAAGGCAAAAGGAGATTAAGAGATGGGCATTTCAAATTCATGTAGTGGATTTCTTCCCCTTCTCAAACGTTAAAGAATCCCTACCATGTTCCACTACTGACAATTCCTTCAAGTCGTAATTCTCAAATATGAACTAGAGAAAAAAAATTAGTCACTTATCTGTGTGGATAAACATGAACTAAAAATATCTAAAGTAACAATACACTTATTCTCATGATTGAAAAATTCTGATTACAAATGAATACATTTGGAAAAAACATAGTATCATGGACAACTACTTAAAAAGTATGGTATTCTGGATTCAAATGTATACAGTGGTAAAATTTAGTAAATTAGTAACTGAATACTCTAAACAGCAAATTATTGGCCAAGGGATTATGTTATTTATGGAAGTTGTGAGATTTTAAAGATTTTATTTATTCTAGAGAGAGAAAGAGCATGAGCAAGTGAGGGGAGGGGCAGAAGCAGAGGAAGAGAGAGAATCTCAAGCAAACTGCACTAAACTCTGGAGCCCGACCAGGGAGCCCAACACAGTGCTCAATCTCACGACCTTGAGATCATAACTTGAGTCAAAATCAAGAGTCAGATGTTTAACCAACTGAGCCACCCAAGTGTCCTGGAAATTACATGATTTTAAAATAAACCTTACTCATCTGATTTAATCTGGCTTTTCTCAAACACTCTGCATCTTGAAACCAACTAAAATACTAAGCTATGCAGATCCTACATAGAATGTAAGTGTGTTCCTTACATTCTATGTAAGGCCAATGCTCAACAAGGCAGATTTTTGAAAAATAGGAATGCCTGGGTGGCTCAGTGGTTGAGGGTCTGCCTTTGGGTCAGGGCATGATCCCATGGTCCCAGAATCAAGTCTCTCATCGGGCTCCCTGTGGGGATCCTGACCCTCCCCTCTGCTTATGTCTCTGATTCTCTCTCTCATGAATAAATAAATAAAATCTTAAAAAAAAAAATCACACAACTGATGCCTTGCTGGCTCAGTCAGTTGGGCATGCAACTCAATCTCAGGGTGGAGAGTTCAAGTACCCACATTGTGGGTAGAGAAATTTAAAATTTTTTAATTTTAAAAAGTTAAAAATCACAAAACTCATCAGGAAAACAAACATGGGAAGAGGAACTGAATAAACATTTTTTCATAAACAATATACAAATGGACAATAGGTACATGAAAAAGGTACTCAACATCACTAAACATCAGGGAAATGCAAATCAAAACCACAGTGAGCTATCTCCTCATATCCGTCAGGATGGCCATCATCAAAAAGTCAAGACATTACCAACTCTTGGTGAAGACGTGGAGAAAAGGGAACCTTTGTACACTTTTGGTGTGAGTACTATCGAAAACAATATGGAGGTTCCTCAAAAAATTAAAACTACCATATGATCCAGCAATCTCACTTCTGGGTACATATTGAAAGGAGATAAAACCAGGATACAGAAGAGATCCACACTCCCATTTACTGCAATTTACTGACAATGGTCAAGATACAGACAATCTAAGTGTCTCTTAACAGATGAAAGGATAAAGAAGATATGGTACATATATACAATGGAGTACTATTCAACCATGAGAAAGAAAATCCTGTCATCTGCAATAATACATGTGGACCCTGAGTGCACTCTGTTAAGTGAAATAAGCCAGACAGAGAAAGACAAACACTGCATAGCACCACTTATATGTAGAATCACTTATATGTACTTAAATTCATACAGAAAAAAGGGGGGGCCTCCCAAGGCTACCAGATAGAAGAAACAGGAAGAGGCTGGTAAAAAGGTACAAAGTTTCGCTTATAAGATGAATAAGGTCTAAGGTTCTAATGTATAAAATAGTGACTATACTTAACACTGTACTATTTAACAGAAACTTACTAAGAAAACAGAACTTAAATGTTCTTAAAAAAAAATAAAAAACATAAATGTGGGACACCTGGGTGGCTCAGCAGTTATTCATCTACCTTGGCTCAGGGCATGATCCTGGAGTCCCAGGACTGAATCCCACATCAGGCTCCCTGCATGGAGCCTGCTTCTCCCTCTGCCTATGTCTCTGCCCCTTTTTCTGTCTCTCATGAATAAATTAAAAAATCTTAAAATAAATAAAAACTTAAAAAGAGAAATGTGAGTTGACAGATGCGTTAATTAACTAGATAAGAATCCTTTCACAATGTATATGTGTATGTATAGCAAAGCTGAAAAAAATAAACTAGAAAATATCAAAGATACAAGTCTTATAAAACCATAAAAATGCATTATCTTACACTTTAGTATCAATCTATAGCAAGATTACGAGCTAGTTTAAACTATACAAATATATTTTAGGAGCAAAGTATTATAAATTTCCTGAAATTATTACTTAGCAAATCGGGTATAAAATGAAAATTGGCCTTAAAGAAATTTATTGATATACATACCTAAGTTATAAAGATCACCCCTACAACATTAAAATGAAGCCTCTATAGGGCACCTGGGTGGCTCAGTTGGTTAAGCATCCAACACCTGATTTTGGTCAAACTCTCAGGGTTGTAAGACTGAGCCCCTCACTGGGCTCTCTCTGTGCTGGGCCTGGAGCCTGCTTTAAGATTCCCTCTCCCAGGG